AAGTGTTAAATATTTCAACTGTGAAAAGCTCTACAATAGGGATTATTGAGGTCCGCAAAAGTGATCAAGGTCGCGTCCATATATTGCATGATAAGTTGATAAACTAATCATCATGATAGTCCTAGTTGTAGTTTGTTGGCCTTTTTATGATCCACATGAAATAAAAGCTTTAATTTTTCTCAACACTCTGCATTGAAACAGGAGAGATACCAGGTGACCACACACAGCTGGAGTTTCATAACATAGAGACGGGGATCATAACAGAGAAACGTTACCAGCCCGTCATTCCATCCAACTTCATTGGGCATCTCCAGAGTTTGACATTTAATGGCAAGCCATACATCGACCTCTGCAGGAATGGAGACATCGACTACTGTGAAGTCAACGCTGTGATCGGATTTAAGAACATCGTTGCAGATCCAGTGACCTTCAAGTCCTGCTCAAGCTATGTGACTCTGAGCACCCTGCAGGCGTACTACTCCATGCACCTGTTCTTCCAGTTCAAGACCACTTCATCAGATGGACTCATCCTGTTTAATAGTGGAGATGGAAATGATTTCATAGCTGTAGAGCTGGTTAAGGGGTACGTTATGGAGAAACAGACATGAGCATTACAGTTTGACACTCTTAGTGCTGTACATGGTTTAAGTGAAAATGTGCATTAATAATTAATTTATCAATCCAATCATTCATTCAACATATTCCTTTCCAAAATATTTTATAATCCTTGCAAATGAAAAAAAAAAGAAGAAGGTCTTTATAGGTGTATGTGCACAGGTGTCAGAATTGAAAATATTCATTCCGAACCAGTGATTTTATTTTTCACAGATTTGCCCTTCAGTAAGTCAGGAGGCATTGAGACAGAGATATTGAGCTGACAGTGTATAGAAAAATATGATAACACTTAATTAAAGTGTCACTTGTGAGTGGCTGTAATGAATGCACAACGATGAATAAACAGAAACTGTCTTTATTTAACAAACTAACATGCAGGAGAGTGCTAGAGAAGTCAGAAGCAGGAGGAGCCAGGCTGGGACCCAGACCACAGCCAGGATGATGGCCCATAGTGGATTCGATGGAGGGAGGAGCCATGAGCCAAGAGCTGATGGGACTTAAGGATGGTGAAGGTTCAGGCAGCAGCGATGAGCAGCTGAGGTAGAGTCAGGGTGCCAGAGGACTGAGGCAGAGCTGGTAGGATTGATGGGGGGGAACCAGAGGAATCTTGTGCTGATGTGGAGCTGGAGACTGGAAAGCCAGAGGCCCGAGTGTAACAAACAGAGGAGAAGCCGAGGGACTTTAGGCAAACAGCAGAGTTGGGGCAGAGGAACTGGCAGTTATTGGAAGGGAAGGTGGGAGAGGGAGGTTGGGTGGGATCACTGTGCGGGACTGGCAGAGACACAGGAAACTTGGACCTGGGCAGGACCAGTAGAGACACAGTAGACTTGGACCTGGGCAGGACCAGTAGAGACACAGGAGACTTGGACCTGGGCAGGACCAGTAGAGACACAGGAGACTTGGACCTGGGCAGGACCAATAGAGACACAGGAGACTTGGACCTGGGCAGGACCAGTAGAGACACAGTAGACTTGGACCTGGGCAGGACCAGTAGAGACACAGGAGACTTGGACCTGGGCAGGACCAGTAGAGACACAGGAGACTTGGAGCTGGGCAGGACCAGAAGAGACACAGTAGACTTGGACCTGGGCAGGACCAGTAGAGACACAGGAGACTTGGACCTGGGCAGGACCAATAGAGACACAGGAGACTTGGACCTGGGCAGGACCAGTAGAGACACAGTAGACTTGGACCTGGGCAGGACCAGTAGAGACACAGGAGACTTGGACCTGGGCAGGACCAGTAGAGACACAGGAGACTTGGAGCTGGGCAGGACCAGAAGAGACACAGTAGACTTGGACCTGGGCAGGACCAGTAGAGACACAGGAGACTTGGACCTGGGCAGGACCAATAGAGACACAGGAGACTTAGACCTGGGAAGGACCAGTAGAGACACAGGAGACTTGGAGCTGGGTAGGACCAGTAGAGACACAGGAGATTTGGACCTGGGCAGGACCAGAAGAGACACAGGAGACTTGGACCTGGGCAGGACCAATAGAGACACAGGAGACTTAGACCTGGGAAGGACCAGTAGAGACGGACCAATAGAGACACAGGAGACTTGGAGCTGGACAGGATCAGAAGAGACACAGGAGACTTGGACCTGGGCAGGACCAGTAGAGACACAGGAGACTTGGACCTGGGTAGGACCAGTAGAGACACAGGAGACTTGGACCTGGGCAGGACCAGTAGAGACACAGGAGACTTGGAGCTGGGTAGGACCAGAAGAGACACAGGAGACTTGGAACTGGGCAGGACCAGTAGAGACACAGGAGACTTGGACCTGGGCAGGACCAGAAGAGACTCAGGATACTTGAACCTGGGCAGGACCAGTAGAGACACAGGAGACTTGGACCTGGGCAGGATCAGAAGAGACACAGGAGACTTGGACCTGGGCAGGACCAGTAGAGACACAGGAGACTTGGACCTGGGCAGGACCAGTAGAGACACAGGAGACTTGGAGCTGGGTAGGACCAGTAGAGACACAGGAGACTTGGAGCTGGGTAGGACCAGTAGAGACACAGGAGACTTGGACCTGGGCAGGACCAGTAGAGACACAGGAGACTTGGACCTGGGCAGGACCAGTAGAGACACAGGAGACTTGGAGCTGGGTAGGACCAGTAGAGACACAGGAGACTTGGAGCTGGGTAGGACCAGTAGAGACACAGGAGACTTGGACCTGGGCAGGACCAGTAGAGACACAGGAGACTTGGACCTGGGTAGGACCAGAAGAGACACAGGAGACTTGGAACTGGGTAGGACCAGAAGAGACACAGGAGACTTGGAGCTGGGCAGGACCAGTAGAGACACAGGATACTTGGACCTGGGCAGGACAAGTAGAGACGGAGCAGTAGAGACACAGGAGACTTGGACCTGGGCAGGACCAGAAGAGACTCAGGATACTTGAACCTGGGCAGGACCAGTAGAGACACAGGAGACTTGGAGCTGGGCAGGACCAGTAGAGACACAGGATACTTGGACCTGGGCAGGACAAGTAGAGACGGAGCAGTAGAGACACAGGAGACTTGGACCTGGGCAGGACCAGAAGAGACTCAGGATACTTGAACCTGGGCAGGACCAGTAGAGACACAGGAGACTTGGACCTGGGCAGGAACAGCAGGGATTGGAGACCCCCTCACATTCCTCGTAATAATTCCCAGAGGTCTTATGCAGCTCACCTTCAGAATCAGGAGTGTGGGCAGGGCTCCATTCCATGACCTTGTGCTCCAATACACTCCCATTGGTACTGACGACGTAGCCATCTCACGTACCTGGTCAGACTTTTCCTTTGGCTCGGCTCTAGGGCGGTGGTGGTCTCGGTCCTCTTTACTGGCTTGTGCATCACGGTAGGCTCGGGTCTCAGTCTGTGGTGGGCTCTGGCATTAGCTCCATGCAGTGTGTGGGCATTGGCTGGCTGGGCTCTGGGTCTGGAGTGGGGCAGATGGAGATCCAATATTTGCCAGCACCCACTGAACAAATGTGACGAAATCCCCTTGTGGACCACTCGCTCTGTGATGCACACCTGAGGTGAACGGTCCACAAATCTAAAGTGAGAGGTGGTGGGGGGTGTAAAGAAAGAAACAGCTAAAATAGTCTATTCTTGGTGCGATATTCTGTTATGTATGAGTGGCTGTAATGAAAGCACGATAATGAATAAGCATTTAGGAAAGCACTGGAGAAGTCACAGAAACACATAACCATAAACAACATCGGAAAACTGAACAAACGAAACTGAGGGTTTTAAATACAAGGGTGAGTAATCGACGTAAAACAGAACATGTGCGTAAATTAAATTAACAACTATGGAGACTAACTAGGGACACAGGCAAACAGAAACAGGGAGAACCAAACTAAAACACACTGAAACTAAACAGAACGAAACATAAATGTTTTATATAAAGACTTTATGTCCAATGCATTATAAAGCTACTCATAATGTACGTTATAATGCATTATTATTTTCATTTTCATAACCAAAGTTAAAATGCATTATAATATTTGCAGATTCCATGTTGCATCCGAGATTGGTTGATTGTCATGCGTTATACTTTCTAAAGGTGCATTACTTATTACCAAAACACAATCACTCATGAGACCATACAATGCATTATAAGGTGCATTACAAATGTAAAAGCTTAGCTCAAATCATTCAATCCTGAAAGAATTTGACAAAAATGTTTAAGTTCTTATTGAGATGTCTGACATTTCATTGCAGACAACTTGAGGGATTATTTAGATTTCTTCTGATACTCTCGACTCGAGCAAACATGTCAGTTTAGGGTCTTTATCTCATGTGTAAAACTTTTCTTCAGCTAAATGTCTCCATGTAATTACATCTCTATCTAAGATAAACAATCGAGATATTACAGAGATCTTGTTTGTGATTTTTCTTTTCCATATTGGTAAACTGTATTCACCTGATAATGGATCTTAAATCTCTGTTTAGCTACCTGCATTACATCTCAGATCTGGGAAACGGTGCTCATCTGATGAAAGGAAACTCAAACAAACCTCTCAATGACAACCAGTGGCACAATGTCATTATCTCCAGAGACACCAATAACCTGCACACTGTCAAAATCGACACCAAAATCACCACCCAGACCACCGTGGGGGCCAAAAACCTTGACTTAAAAGGTAGATTTCACTGTAGTGTTATTGTAACTTGTCAATTCATACAGCCGCTGTGACAAACGGTTTTATTGCTTAAAAATATTTTTTTTAGATCCACAAATAAATGTTATATGTAATAAATGTATAATATACTATGTTCCTTTGTGAACTGATGTCATTTTAAATTTAACAGAGAGACAGCTGATGGGAATATATGATATTTAAATATATAATTATGAACATTATGCACTCTCTTTTTTGGCTCTTTGCAGGTGATCTTTATATTGGTGGTGTTCCCGAGGAGATGTACAAAGATTTGCCCAAGTTAGTTCACGCAAAGGAAGGATTTCAAGGCTGTTTGGCATCTGTGGATCTGAACGGCCGTTTGCCAGACCTGATGTCAGAAGCGCTGGCCTGTGTTGGACAGATTGAGAGAGGATGTGAAGGTGACAACATCTTTTGTAATGCAATAATTCTGATCACCCTCTCAGGGTTTATTTTGCAGCCATGGCATGCTGACTCTAGATAAGTGAGTTGACATGTAGGTACATTATTACTTGAATGCCCTCAGGGGACCTTAAAATGTAACTCTTAGGTATGGTGGCCCAGTAGTGCACAACACAATGCAATTCAAAAAGCAAACATAAGTTCACAACATAACAGAAAAAAAGCCTAAGGGAACATCTGTCAATTCCACCAAATGGTTAAAACGTATAATTTGTATTAATTAAACTGACTTTTAACATTTAAAAACAAACATGTTCAAATTTCAAATCTTTTGGTAGGTTCCAATAGACCCCTTTTGCGCCGACGTCACAGTTAGCTGGAGGCAAAACAAAGTGAAAACTGGAGGCGGCCAATACAAACCAGCACAGATTCGGCTACATAAAAAGGAGCTTAAATTGCTTTTATTATTATTATTAAATGTCATCTTCTTGTGTTGTTTGGTGCAAGTATGAATGAAAAATGAATATGCTGTATCTGGATTTTTTATTTCTAGAAAATATTCACATGATTAAAATCGCACCGTAATGTCACTCTTTACATTGTCGTGGTCGTACGTACGGTATATTGACAAGAAGTGAAAGCCAATAGAACGTTCCATTGCAACACCAGCAACTTTACAGTAAGGGCCCTATTTTAACAATGTGAAACGGAAATATCAAGCACGAAGTGCAAGTATCTTTGTGGGCGGGTCTTGGGCGCTGTTGCTATTTAAGCGGCGGGATAAATGCCTCTTGCGCCCAACGCAAACCTAAAAGGGGTTGGTCTGAAGTAGCTTCATTATTTATAGGTGTGGTTTGGGTGTAACGTGAAACAAACCAATAAGAGCGTCATATCTCATTCCCTTTAAGAGCATGATGAACGAGGTGCGCTTGTTCTATGGCGCAATTATATTATAACGCCGCATTTACCAGGCGCGCTTCACAATCGGTTCACAGCCGAGGAGGTCGATGTTCTCGTCAGGGCCGTAAAAGAAAGAGAAGGGACATTGGGGATGGACAAACACACCCAAATTAGCTTTGGTTAAAGAGTAACTAAACACTTAACCAACTTTTTTTAGTTAATGATCTGTAAGAATGGATCTTTATTAATACCAGTCATTGATTCGAGTAACTTTTTTGGCATTTGTTTATAAAGTGTTCTATTTCTACAATATATGGTGTAAAAGCGTCTTAGTGCTGCCCTCTTCAGGTTGAACGCTGGCTACTGCAGTTGAATTTTCCTATTGGATGTTTGCGGTGGTACGTGACACAGCGGTTGTTGGTGACGTAGGCAAGTTCCATACAAAGAGATGCGTCTCAGGTGCACGCCCCCCTCCGCTGGGCTCCGCCCACTTTTACAGCATTTTCCAAATATTGCCAGTGGGTGGAGTCAGGCTCTGACCAGGGGTTTAGTTACCCTTTAAAAATGCATAGCCTATAATAATTTGGGTAAATGTGTAAGCTTTATGCCTATTTTCCACATCGTCATGGACACAACAATGATTTCCCTCATGTTTAAACATTTTTCCTTATAATAATGTATCATTTGCATAAAGTAAAATGCATCTGTGTAGATGAGAGAATCATCTACAGTGTGTGTGCGTTGTTCACACTCTGTATTATGGCCAAGCATGTGCGCTTAAAGTAGCATCTGAATGTACGCGCAACGCGCCGCTGACTTTAGACTAATTTTTTCTGGTCAGTGGCGCAATTGTTTTCTGGAACTGCAGAATAGCACCAGGGAACGTTTGCGCCGAAACACGCCTCCTTTTTGCGTCGACCCGCCCAGGGAGCGCAAGTTCATTCCCTATTTACCGACGTGCGTCAGTGAAGGGAAAAGTTTGTTTTGCACGGGGGCAAAATAGGAATGATACACGAGTCAGTGTACAAAGTCAATTGCGCTGAGTGCAAGATAGCACCCTAAATGTTTAAATCTTACATTACAAGTTAATACTGTTAATATCTGTATCCATTTTCACCAAAAAAAAGCCTATAGACTAAATAAGTAATGCTTATGTGCACGATGTAACGGTTTTCACAGATTCCCGTTTTTGTAGTTTACACAGAGATAAGGGTGTTAGTTTTTTTCAAAAGTTTGTGTTTTCAGGCCACCTGTAAATGAACAGCCCTGTGGTTTACTTCAGTAAGCATTCGACACTCTCAGTATTACTGCTGTTGTCAAAAGATTTGCTGTATTTGTCATGCTATAGATGTTCATTGTGTCTCATGCAAATGCAGAAGTTTATAGTGGAAACACTCTTAAATGGATAGAATGATTTCTGCTGAGTTGCTGAATGAAATCTACTTTACATACACAGAGATATACCACAAACAACATGCATATTTCATTCAGTTTTCATTATATTCCTCTTTTACATAAATGACACATTGGCCTTTTCATGTCAGCTGCTTGGAAAGTGCTCGTGCTGTATCTGGGTGCTTCACAATTCATTATTGATGAATTCTCATTTCCTTTCCTTGCGTCCTTGCTCCTCTCTCTTAAGATTCAAGGGCAGCATGTACAGAAAGGAAACAAGGTGGAGGAAGAAGTTGCGCACAAGGGAGCCGTATGCCCGTATGTTGTTAAATGTTAATTAAGATGAAATTTCATTAGGGTATTGAGAAGCACTCCATGCATTAGGGCACAAGTGTTTTTTTATTGGTCCATCTGGGATCAAGGAACCAGGAGCGCTTTTGAGGATGAAATAATAATTGGGTTTGCCAAAGGTTGGTACCATCGAATCTTCAGAGTTTTGCCTGAGCTGCAACATTAAATGACTGGTTGGGAACTTTCTGCCCAAAACATCTTCTTTGCCAAAGGTTTCCACTCCAGTATTCCAGGATTGCGTCTTAGATGTGACCAAAACGTGGGAAAAACCATTCACAGGTCCCAGTTACTGGATTCAATGCTTTTTTGGTGATGGATCAGGCAAATCAGATAGCTGTCCGATCAGCCACATGAAGGGAGCAGGTGTAAACAGGCTCTCAGTATAACTGGGATGCTGGCTGATAGTAAGAGCACTTACTAAAGTCCCCCCCCCTGGTGAAAATCCAGTGTTTAATGTTGTTTATGTGTGTATGTGGTGTATTTAATACGCTTTAAGACAAACCATGTGTAAGTTGATAAGCGGACAGCATTGCTGAGTATCTCAAAAACACGCTGTGAAATCGCTGGTGTTTCTGACGTCACAAACCACCTTGTAACCAATCAGATCAGCGGAGGCGGGGCTCATTTGCATATTCATTGAAAATGAATGATCAGAGATGAGTTTTAAGGGATGAAAAATGATTGGCTACAGGGGGACTTTCGGAAGATATACTTATCAGATCATTTTGTGCTCTTAAACTCTTCTAATCTCTGGTTCATGAACCCTTTTGAACTACAGGTGTGATTAGTGAGTAGTTAGGACAACATATTTCTTTACACTTTTTCTCTGTGTGAGACATACAATTCTCCCCGATGTGAATATTGTCTCTCATCATTTATCCACTCTAAAAAATGATGTGTTGAATTTACTTAAAATATATATGCACCATTTTTGCATCGTACTTTTTAAGTAATCCCAACTTGGAATAATTGTACTTAAAATTAACAAGAAAATCTTTGTTATATGTACTTAATTATTTGAGTTCACGCAGCATTCTTTACTTAAAAATGTATGCATCACGTTACATATATTTTTAAGTAAAGAATGTCACGTGAACTAAAATATTTAAGTTTATTTTATGTAAAATTATTCCAAGTTAAAAATTTACTTAATTAAATGATTACGGGTTGCTTAAAAAGTATGACGCAAAAATGGTGCATATATCTTTTAAGTAAATCCAACACAGTGCAGGCCATGTGAGATCAAAACAAATCTTAGTTCTGTTAACTTAACATTTAAGCTCATTTATATATAAAAATAAGACAATTAAATCAGTTGAACCAACCATTTTAACTTATTTTAGATCTTCAGCTTACATGTCTTAAAATATATTAAACATGCAAATCACACACAATAAAGCATTTCACTTTATTATTTATTTTTTACCCAATACTTTTAAATTGCATCTTAAAATATATTAAAATAGAAAATAGTTGTTAAAATAATAATAATAATAATAATAATATGGTCACAATATTACAGTTTTTTCTTGGATCAAAGAAATGAAGGCTTGGTGGGCAGGTGATATATAGGCCTATATATCTATTTTTTTCAAAAATCAATAAAAAACAATTACATGTAACAAAGTCCATAATTAAATGCCTATAAATATAAAAATTTGTCTATTAATATCTATCAATTTAAACAAAACAGAAGTTAATTAATGACTTTTGTCCAGAGGTTTTGAACGAATCTCTTCAAAAACATTTTAACTACTGCTGTGCATATTTACTCACCTACTTTATATTTATTAAGTATTTATTTTTATTTATTTACTTAAATCAGTATGCTCCATCAACATTCTTGTACCACATCTTGTTGGTAAAAGATGGCATCTTTGCATGCATATATATGTTTTTCTTTGTATTATATTCCTTTTATTAAACAAAAACAAGGGCTGTCAAAAGATTAAATATTGTCTTTTTATTTTAGAAAATTTTTGTCACACATTATATTTAGGGATGCAGGATATATTAGCCATCATATCGGTATCGGCTGATATAAGTTCATTTTTACTGTTATTGTTATCGGTCCAATAAGAAGATTTGTCCGATATCTTAAAGCCAGTAAATAATGGATTATTTCCTTTAGTTAAAACACTTTGCCATGATGGTTTTGAATTGCTTGAAAAGCCTTTTTTGATACAGAAAATTGGCCATATGAGTGTAAAATCTATTTTAAAACACTGGTATACTTTTTTTCCCGTTTAATTTATGTTAAAGTGCTTGGGACATGTCTTTTAATGGTGTGATCAGTTTTGTATTAAAATAAAAGTATAAGATTTATCAGCCAATATACCGTTATCGGCTTTCAAATATAAAGAATAATCGGTTATTGATATTGTCTAAAATGTGTATATCTTTGCATCCCTAGTCTTTAACTGCTATGTACCTACTTGAAATACAGTGTATTTATAGATGTAATCACAGAAATTAATAAGCACATGCAGGTGTTTTTAATGTAAGGACAATGTAAAAACACAATAAGTACAGCGTATCAAATGATTCATTTAAATGTTATTCTGCGTTCATGTGCTATGGTAATTATGGTAAATACCAAAAGCCGACGTGGAAAATGCACATGAACACCCCCTTATGTGGTATTTTCCACTGGGCAACTCGTAGAACATTTTGATGGACGAGTTGCCGAGATTAGATAACCTTTGAACTTTTCAAAATGGCGGAGAGCACCGCAAGAGTCGTGAATGGTAAAAATATATATTATTCATGATCTAGAAAAATATATAGCATATTATTTACCTTTTGACTTTTGATAAATCATTTTCTTGCTGTTGCAGATGAGTTAAGCAATCTAAAATAGTTTTAGCTTAAATAACAGGTCTGGATCTCCATCTTTTTTTACCACATTACGACAACAAAAGCACTTGAACGCAACACACTGGTAAATACCAGTTCACAAGTGGAAAATATCCTACTTTCCATAGCACGTGAACGCAGCATTAGTACACTCCGTTAAAGACACTCAGTATACCGTGGGACCAAGTTTGGTTTTACACTGTAAAAAAAATATTGTTGGTTTAACTTAAAAAATTAAGTAACCATTTTAAGTTGATTGAAATGGAAAAAGTGAGTTAATACAATGAAGAAGATTGATTTAATCATCAGAAACTCAAAATAATAAGTTATCTGAACTAAATAAATTATCTAAGTTGATTGGACAAAAGAGAAAATGTTGTGATAACAAATCTTGAAAATATTTTTTTACAGTGTATTGGACAGTAGTTAATGCCTTAATTACAAAGCATCATGTAATAGCATAATTTTAAATGTATTATATCAGGGATATCTGAACCTGTTCTTTATTAGTTTCACTTTCATGGATTTTTAGGTTGTATTCATCAGTCACATGTGTTCTTTGTCTTTGTTTCCCGCCACTCATGATCTCATCGTTCAGTTTATCACCAGTGTGTGTTTCACTTATTCCTTGGTCACGCTTCAGTTGTGTTGTGTGTTAGAGCACGCTGTTCTCATTTAATAAAACCTTGTTTATGTTTTGTAATACTGTCATCCGTCTTTATCTTCTTCACCAGCTTGTAAAAATTACATAATGAATATGTGTTTTTCTGTGCCTGATCTCTGATGTAGGGCCCAGCACCACCTGTCAGGAGGACTCCTGTGGGAACCAGGGCGCTTGCCTCCAGCAGTGGGAGGGCTTCACCTGCGACTGCAGTATGACCACTTACGGAGGACCTTTGTGTAATGATGGTTAGTGAGAATGTTTTGCATCATATTTCAACAGATGCCTGCTTGATATGTGGTGTTGTAACACTGAAATCATATCCAGGGTAATAATGATGAGGTAAGCACACCCATATATTTGTGTGGGCGCTTTGACCTGTTCGGTGTAGACAGCTGCAACTGTGACGAGTCATGTCAAATATGGTAGCTGGTGTAGACAAAGTGTTCTGTGCTGCAAATCACCATTGGGTTTTCACTGCTGAACACGAGCGAGAGCAAAGTTTAAAACTTTTGCAATTGCTACAGTAATTCATGGTGGTATGACAAATTAATTTGATGAAATTGATGATTAAACAAATTAAAAAAAGCAATGCATTAAATTCATTTGAGATTAAAAAAGAAATCTGCTTGCACAGTTGTAAAAAAGTGGCATAATTAGGTGTTCAAGCATTTTATTTGTTAGAAAGAAAAAAAAAATCCCCTAAAACGCATCGTGCAGCCCAAACCGTAAGGGCTGGAGCTCTGAAACTTTGTCAGATTGTGGAGAAGCTATCAGAGTATGAGCCCGATTGGCCCATAGGTGGCGCTACAGCAACCAAAAGTACTAAATTGCTCATAACTCCTAGACCGTTTGACTTGGCTTCAATGTTTTTACACCACTGTAATCCCTGGCTCAAGACGGACGAGATGTATATCTCGGATTTCCATTTGGAGCATTTGGTTTTTGTCCAAAACCCACTTTTGCGAACTAGTCCCTGGTTTTTTGCCCAATCGGGACCAAACCAGTCTAGGCCTATTCTCTGGACTCTCTAGATCAATAATTATCGAAAAAAAGTTGAAATTTTGCATTTGGTTGGCTGTAACAGGGTCATTTAGATAGTGGTCTGTGGCAAAATTCAGTCAAAAGCCCCTAAATTCCCCCCCAAAAAGTCACAACTTCACAAAAATCGATGAGCATATGTGTCCTAACATGGTTAGGAAGCATGCAAAGTTTCGTGAGGATCGGATCATAGGTGGCGCCATAATCGTCAAAAAGGTCTCTCATAATTAGGTGTTCAAGCACGAAGTGTTGAAAACCTATTGTATTTGCTAGAGAGAGAAAAAAAATCCCCTAAAACGCATTGTGCAGCACTTTTGCGAACTAGTCCCTGGTTTTTTGCCCAATACTATTCTCTGGACTCTCTAGATAAATAATTATCGAAAAAAAGTAGAACTTTTGCTTTTGATTGGCTAGGGTCGTTTACAAAAGGGATGGGACAAAATGCACCCAAAATCATATAAATCCTAAAGGAAAACTCAAAATTTTCACAAAAATTGATGATTGCACAGTTTCATGGAGATCGGACCATAGGTGGCGCTATAACTGTTAAAAAGCTTTAAAACCATGCATTTCCAATGTTTAATTTTCTGTATTGATTGTAAATGGTGTTTTACATCTATTATGTTGGTGGATAAATGCATGTTAAATAAAATTGAATGCCTTTTGATGCTTTTGTGCTTAAAGGCCCGAACTGCTTGAACACCGATAAATGCTGCTTGCAGCTTAAATTGTTTTTATAATAGTTCATGTCATCCATTTACAAAGATTCTACCTTTAAAAATTATTCGTTTTTGAGAGCATTTCACAATACAAAATCACAAAACAAAACTCAAATGTGCTGTAATTTAAACAAAAGAAATAGTTATTTCTGGTATATTTCAAATGTATACACCAAATGTTTTTAAAGCAGCTTTACAGACACGCTATTAACTAGAATTAACATTTCATGCAGTAAACACTGATTTTCTGCTGGTCTCAGTGTGACGAAGCTCTCCTGTGTTGTCTGTCACCACTTGAGGGCACTCACATGAAGCACAAACACTTACTGAATCACGCCATCTCGGAAAACTGACAGCATGTCTTCACTCAGTTTCACTCAGGGTTCATATACTCGCTGGCGCTTGAGAGTTTTGAGCTGAGGAAATGAATTTAAACACCTTAGACGTTGATTTCAGCTTGTAGCCTGAAATGAAAACATGAAATGAGCATCAACACTGTTGAAATGCAGCTAATCAGCGGTAGATTTAATCACTTTTAGTAGTTATGAACTGTACTGAAGGATGTGTGTTCAGAAAAGAGGGAATTATGTTCATCATATTTCTTCTCATTCAGGATGGGTGATAGTTCTTCAAAAAAAAAACTTTTCACATTAGAAATAGTTAACCTGGGTGTTTCTATAATCCTAGGTTATCCTTGCTTCATGCGTCACATTTCTCATAATTTCCCTTACCCGGGATTAATTAAGATAAACTGGGGTCAAGCACAATGTGAGAAGGGTTGTAGAGTCGCACACACTAATTACCCTTATGAAAAAGAAGTATATTTCAAGTTCATTTTATGTAGTATACTTAAGTAATGGTCAAGTATATTTAAGTATACATTATGTAGTAAGTATGTCACTATGTACTAGTAGCAGTGGCGCAAAAAGTGGGTATGCGCTATATGCGGCGCATAGGGGCGCAGCACAATGGGGGGCGCCAAAGCGATGGTAAAAAAAAAAAGAAAAAAAAAAGTATATATAGGCTATAACGGCAGCTATTTCTACATGTAGCTGCGGTTGTGCGTTTCTAAATCATTTCTGCATTCCTTCAATGCTATATAAAATTTTAGAGGACTAACAGCCAGGTTAGAGTAGGCGCCCTCATGGAGAAGGGGGGCGGGTAATATCGCGAGCGGGTGGGGGCGCCGTGAGCGCTGAGCGAGCAGGTACGAGTAGTTAGTTGTCGTCGAAAAAGATGGATAAAACAAAATGCTGTGGTGCTAAAAATAGAAAAAGAAAGAGAGAAAAGGAGATGGCATGTCAATTGATGCGACAGCAGCTAAATAACTGCATGCATTGCTGAAATCCAACAGGTAGGATTTAAAATATGACATCCAGGCATGGCTATCTATATCTCTATCTCGGTGGCCATCGGGACTACCGGGAGATTCCCGCTGGGCCGACGTGCTTTTCAGACAACATTTCATCCTTTTTTAATTTATTTGTCTTAACGGCCCACAAAACTCATACATCGGCGGCCCATTTGTTTGTTTGTTTTTGTTTTGTTTTTTGCTTAATTGGCGGCGCTGTGCTGGTGTAATGCATTGGTCAAAAAAAATCAGCTTTAGTTTTTTTTCTGACACACTGGCCCATGAAATATGTCATTATGCCCAAGTATCTTTCAAGTATAGAAATTAGTGCAAAACTAATTATGAAAGTTTCCTTTATTTTTCTGTGCATTTGTTTTACAATAGCCTTTATGGCAATTACTATCATGGGATTAATATTATAACTATTATTTTGTAGTAGTGTAATTTAGACAGAGAAAAATTTGATCCTCTTTTAGTTAGTCTCTGTTTAATTTGCACCCTGAATATGGGTTGGAGCTTTTGATTTTGAACTCTCAAAGTGCACCAGTCTGCTGAATTTAACATTACAGAAAACAAAATTTTCTTACGGGGGAGCATGCCCCCGAACCCCCCTAGAGAAACAGAGGTCCACCTACCACAGTTTTACCTAAAATCCTGTGAGAAACACTGGTATTGCTGTTCCAATGGAGCTTATAGTTTTCTTAGGGGGGTTCATCAAGGTGGAGTAGCTATAGTTTAATTGTGTTAATAAACGACAATTTTGCACTTATTTTTTTCTGTTAGCTCTCATTTCTTCCTACTCACTTATTACACAGCACACTTACATTACATTTATTTTTAAAAAAATTGTTGCTAAAATTGTTGCTGCATACCCCTCTGAAACTGGGTAGTTGCGCCCCTGACTAGTAGTAAACTTGTAAGTGTACTATTTTAATACTGCTAATTGGCGCGCTTTTAGTACATAAAAGTATATGTTTAAGTGTACTATAAGTGTAACAGTAAGAACAGAACTAGTTCATAATTATGTATCTCATGTGTACTGCAAGTGAATTTATGGGTATACTAGTAGTTTACTTTTTTACTGTAATACTTATACAAGTATACTTTGAATACTTAATTATACTTTTAAGTATTTCTGGATCAAAAGATTGAGTACAAGAACAGGACAAATATACTTGCTTTTCTCTCAGTAAAAGTGAAGTACACTAAAGTGTAATTTGAAGTATATTTCTGAGAAGTACATATAGTATACATCTGAGAAGTACAGGAAAAATAAACTGAAAGTATACTTTCTTATTTTTAGTTTAAAAGAAGTATATTAATGGCACACTTGAATAAACTTATTTTTCGTAAGGGTATGTTTACATGCAACCAAACAATCAATTTTTTAAGATTTATGGCTCAATCGGACTGAAAAGTCTACTGGTAAACACCTAAATCAGAACAACTGAGCTTGATCGTAATAAAATTTAGATCTGATTGAAGTGTCTTAATTGAATCTTAAAGGGATAGCTCAGCCCAAAATGAAAATTCTGTCATTATTTACTCACACTTACGTCGTTCTGAACCCGTAAGACTTTCGTTTATCTACATTTGAGCTTCAGCAAGAACCAATGAGGTTCATTCTCGTGTTCACTCTTAGATGGAAAGGTTCTATATAGAACCTTAAAAGGTTCTAAAGCGCTACGTATTTGGAACCCCTAAAATGCAATGCATGTGAATGATCACAAAATTCAAGATATGTGGGTTAAAAAAATGTAATTAATCAATATCAGACGAAGAGTGACATTTCAGTTTTTATCCTCCAAAATCAGCATGATTAAAGTTAAAACAGTTTAATAAACAATCATTTAATTACATACTACAAAATATTGCAGAATAATGGGTAACACTTTACAATACGGGTGCACTAATGTGCATTAATTCATGCTTAACTAATACACAGATAATCATGAGTTAATGTATAACTCATGAAGAACTAAACCATTAATTAATGATTACTGCATCAGCAACTAATAAAGAGTCTATATGATTAATAGATGAAGTAATACATGAATTGCTATTAATTCAATGTGTCATTGTGTATTAATTCCTTGATAACATATTTTATTAACTAATAGTGTAAATTAATGTGTTA